AATTATTCCTCTTCTTAATGCATTGCTGCCTGGGGCCCCAAAAATAACAGACATCCAATATTAATTTTTGGCCTCGTCCCTTGTGTACAGATTTCTCTTGATTCACCGAATCTATTGGTGATATGCTGTACTGTAGCTGGTGAGATATTCAAAATCCAATATTAGTGGATTGTCGGGTACAGGTTCAAATTAAAGTTCTTGATTTTTAAAACAACTTGTTTTACAAACAGAAAGACTGAAGAGTACATTTTACAATTCTAGCACATTTTCAGTGTTTCTTTTTGTGTCAAACAGTCGGTCAGTGTGGATTTTATTTTCCAAACAATAAGAATTTAAAATTTTAGAAAGTAAAAGTAAAGTTTAGCAGTAGTCGGTGCTTTATTATCTGCGCTTTAGCTGCACCTGTGTATGTCATGTTAGCCGTGACTGAGAAATTTCAATCTCGTCACAAGTAAATAATTTACACTTTGAATGTGTGCAGTTTTAACCTTTTGAAATCACCTTTTTGAAAACAGCACTGAATCCACTGAATTCTGCCCGAGGAGCTGTGCAGCCTAAATAAATAAAGAGATACATGTGACCACCACTGGTCCACACAGATAACAGTGATTTTTGTAAATGTATTTATCAAAACAGGGAACAAAGTTTAACATCACCTTCTACAGTAAATATCTTTTTCGGTAAATTCTCCAGCACTCCTGTGAGTCCATCGTAGTTCTGAATTTTGAAGGCATTTCTATGTTTTGGCTCTGAAGCAAAGGCCCTGAATTTATCCAGCTTAGCATCTTTGACCTGAAATCAGAATACTGCTTGAAAACATGAAATTCAAAGTCTGACATCAGCATGGGAAGTAAAAACTGGACTAAGAACTGAAATCTGCTGAGCTGTTTGTGCTGCGACTGACACCATGATGCATTTCTACTTTAGTATGACTGTGTATCATCTAAATAACAGTGAATAAAACAGTCTAATACTATAAGAGTGTTTATGTGACACAAAATGATCACATTTATTTGTCTAATGGATAAATCTGATTTTTCTGTTGGGACTGGTGTCACACATCACATCCTACCCCAATGACAAGACGAATGATATTTTTATCATCGTATCTTCTAATTATCCTTTTTCTGTCTGTATCAGAGGGCTCTCCATCTGTGATTAGAATCAGAACTTTGGTAACATCAGGAGAGGCGCCTGCAGCTGGGTTTTCAAAGATTTCTTCTCTGAAACAAATGTGAAAGCAAAGCAACACTCAGAATAAACAACATTTAAAAATATAAATAAATGAACAAATACAGTGCTCATTATCTCACAGCTGTATTGATCCTGCTGCTTTTGACACAACTTACAACACAAACTCGAGGGCTCTGTGTGTCCTGGTGAGACCTTTTAAATGTTTTTCTGTTGCAAGTTTATCGAGAGCACGTCCAGCTGCATAGTCGTTGAAGTCAAACACTTTGTGGACTGTTGTGGAGAACTGAACTGCTGCAAACTGGAAAAAAACCCCACTATGTTAGGTATATGACTGTGGAAGGGCGTGGCTTGCGGTGCCGTGCAGGGAAGGCAGACGCACCTGCATGGCATCCGCAATCAAGCCCCGCCGACTTAAATATTGTAATGGGTCATGTGTTTGGGG